TTGATCAGTTAATCAGTTAATCAGGTGATCAGTTAATCAGTTGATCAGTTGATCAGCAGTTAATCAGCAGATCAGTTGATCAGTTGATCAGTTGATCAGCAGTTAATCAGCAGTTAATCAGCAGATCAGCAGTTAATCAGTTGATCAGCAGTTAATCAGTTGATCAGTTAATCAGTTAATCAGTTGATCAGTTGATCAGTTGATCAGGTGATCAGTTAATCAGTTAATCAGTTAATCAGTTAATCAGTTGATCAGTTGATCAGGTGTCGATTTCATCTCAACTCCGTCAGAACTGAGCAAAATTTTGATCTGTTCAATATTTTTTCTGTATTTCAGTTAAAATCCAAATGATGTAAATTATTTCAGCTTCAATCAAATAGTTTGTTTATTAGATAAAAACCAGATTCAGTGAACGGATCTTTAAACGGATCTTTAGTTCATCAACCTGAAGGATTAATTATTGATTTTTAGATATTTTATTGAACCTGAATCTTTGATGTTTTTATGACCCAACTGGGTTCCTGCTGAGTCCGGCCCGGTCCGGTCCGGCCTCTCACGGTACGGTTCGTGTTACAGTCGTCATGGTAACCAGGTCAGGTTCCAGAAACGCCTTTAAATCCTCTGAACCGCAGCAGAACCCGTCCCACCTGGAGGTCCGGTACCGGCTCACCTGCTGTAGACCACGGCGGCGTAGCCCGGTTCGGCCAGCAGAACCTCCCCGGTGCTGAGTTCCCTGCTGGCCCTCAGGCCGCGACCTTTCACCCCGGCGTCAAACAGCTCCATGACCGGACCGGTACCGCAGGACGGGCTGAGGGAGACTCAGCCGTCTCTCCTTGGTGCGACCCACAGGGGAACCGGGTGACCCCGCCCCTCCGGACCGGAACCTGCTGAGGCAGGACGGGTCGGACCCTTGTTTGGGTCGGTTCCCCTGCTGGTATTTTGGTCCCAGGCAGCTGCTGCTGTCCATCAGCTGGAGCTGCTGCTGTGCTCACTGCCACCAGAGCAGGCGGACCGGAACCGGACCGGACAGGACCGGGCCGTCAGAACTGTCTGGATGGGGCGGGTTAGAACCAGAACAGAACCAGAACATGGAGGAAGTTCAGTCAGACGCCTGGATGAACAGAGTGATTAACCTCTGACCTCCAGCTGTCACTGCGGGTCAGGCGGCGCTGCAGAGTCGATCATAAATCATCTAAAGTTTATAAACAAACTGAATCTTTTAATTTGTTTATTTGATGCAACAAAAAGCAGAAACACAAAAACTGATGAATATAAAAATATCCCAATATGAAGGAAAATAACATTTTATCAAACAGGAAGTGAGGTCATCACTGTTAGCAGCGTAACGTGAATCCATCATGGTCACCTGACAGGAAGCTGAACGACTCCGGTTACCGAACATCGTGTCGCTCCGATACCGCAGCAACATCTCTTAAAGGGACAGGCCTCATTCTGGTAAAATGTGATTTATTACAGTATCTAAACTATAATCAGGGCGAAAGCAACAATTAGCAAACCCAACTTAGAAAAGAAAACTCCAAGTGTCTCTTCTCTGTCAGACGAGAAAACACTGAGGAATGTTAATAACCTTCATGGAAGCATTATTAATATTATTATTCTCCTCTGATAGCTTCACTGTCTCATGGCTTCAGTATTTATCAGCCGACATCCTGACAGTTCAGTTCAGGTCAGGTTCCCTGACCCCTGACCTTTTTAAGGCACCATAAACATGGAATGTTTTTTTACAGTGACAACGTAGAAATAACATTTTAGACCGGAAACATCATTTCTTTAAACTGTTTTCATGTGAACAATGAAACAAGTCAAACCTCTAATCTGACCTTTGACCCCAAACGTCATGTTTCTGATGCTGCAGCAGAAATTCTACTAAAGACTGAACTGCAGCTTCACTGTTCGTTTCACAAAAAACAGCTGAGTCAGCAGGAAACCACAAACCCGTCCAGAACCAGAGAACCAACATGGCGGAGCGTCTGCAGCCTGTTGGACTTAAAGTCCAAGCTGCTCGGTTTGGACTCGGTTAAACTTTAACGAGGTTCTGTTTGATCTGGACGCTGTCCAACATAAAGTCTCTCATTCTGACTCCACTGCAGCTTCTGGTCCAGAATCAGAACAGAACCTGAGCTCAGGTCCGTTTCCTCCAACCTGCTCTGGTTCCTCAGTTTGTTTCATCTGATCCAATAAACTGAAGCAGAAAAAACCTTAAAGTTTCTCTGCAGCTTAAGAAAGTTCTTCAGTTTCCTGGTTCTGACTTTTCTTCTAGTTTTATCACGTCTACCTTAAGGCGTGACATTAGTGCCAAATTTAAGACTATTGCGACCCAGCAGCAGATACTTCCTTGTAGCAGGAGGCTACTTCTTTCTGGATCCAGTTTCTGATCCGACTGATCGGCCGACATCTGGAACCCATCAATCAGGTCTGACAAACAATAAGGAGAGTATTGGTTAGTGTTAGCTTTGGAGAGGCTAACAACTAGCATGTCTTGGATGGACACCCATCGTAGCCTCCTTCTGCTGTAAATTAGCACAGCATTGCATAGGACTAGCATTGCATAGGCAGAGCCTAGCTAGGCTAGTGTTAGCATTGGACAGGCTATCCTATCCAATCCAAGGCAAATGTGCAGCAGAGAGAGAAAGTAGGCTAGGAGGTGATCAGGCTTAGTATGCTAGTCACTAGCCTGTCCAATGCCAACGCTAGTCAGTTCTCTCCTCATTTGCCAATGCCGATTGCTAAGTCACTGATTCTGAACAGTTTGTCGGTTCTGAACTTGAAAATGAAGAACTGGAGACTCGTTTCCCTCTGGCCAGACGTGAGCAACGTCTGGCATCAGCTAATCTGAAGGAGCAGCAGCTAATCTGAAGGAGCAGCAGCTAATCTGCAGGTTGGAACGTTTCCACGGTGATGGGATTAAGATACATCAATTATAAAGTTTCATCACAACATCGACGCTACAATAAAACGACTTGGCAGCAGCTACACGTCGAAGACGTCGACATGCTCTCCGGAGGTGAACTTGTCCTCCAGCAGCAGCTTCATCAGTTTGGCTGAAGATGCTTCACAGGTCAGCAGCTGACCCTGAGCGAACATGTTGGAGAACGTCTTCTTGATGCTCGGGTCGGCCGTCTTGGTCCGGGCCTCCACCTGCATCTGGGTGTCCAGCGGTCCTGGTTCAGGAGGGACAAAGGAGATGCATCAAGAACTGCAGGAAAAACTCAGAGAGGCTAGCGTTAAAGCCGGGTAGAGCTAGCATAAACCCGGGTATGGCTAGCTTAAAGCTAGGTAGGGCTAGCATAAACCCGGGTAGGGCTAGCATAAACCCGGGTAGGGCTGGCATAAAGCCGGGTAGGGCTAGCTTAAAGCCGGGTAGGGCTAGCTTAAAGCCGGGTAGGGCTGGCATAAAGCCGGGTAGAGCTAGCATAAAGCCGGGTAGGGCTAGCTTAAAGCCGGGTAGAGCTAGCATAAAGCCGGGTAGGGCTAGCTTAAAGCTAGGTAGGGCTAGCATAAAGCCTACCCGGAGAGTAGCTGAGCACGCGTAGCTCCGGCTCCTCCTCGGCCAGGACCTTGAACATCATGTCTCTCGCCGCCTTGCCGGTGCAGTAAAGGCCCCAGGAGCGGAACGGCTGCAGGGCGCAGAGCGACGACACGTTGATGACGCAGCGCCGCAGCCCGGCGTGCGCCGGGAAGGCCTGCAGCAGCCGCGCCGTCAGGCACATGGCGGAGCTGACGTTCAGCGACAGGTAGGCGTCCACCTCGGCCATGTCCGTGAAGCCCTTCACGTACTTGGAGACGTCGCCCAGAGACGCTGCGGGAAGGAGAGCAGAGGTTAGAGAGGTTCTGACCCAACCAGAACTCGGCGCTGGTTCTGACCCAAACCCAGAGGACAAAGTCCCATCAGAGCCCGAACAAAGGAGCCTGAGATCCGTCAGACGGATCCGATCCACCAGAACTTCAGATTTATGATCCGGATCATCAATTCCACCTCTCAGCTGCAGCGTTACTCATGGGAATTTATCAGTAATGTTTTTATACCATAATTTATTTTATGTGTAATATTTATTTTTCTGTAATCAATTAATATTTAAAATTATTTTCATAAATGTTTACTGGTGGAGCTATTTATTATTTATTTCTTTATCCATTTGAATGTTGTTAGTTTATTCTTAAATTTATATTTTTTGTATTATTTACAGTTTATTTGTAGGTTAATAATTGTTGATTTTATTTATTTTTTGTTTTATTATTTTTCCTATTTATTTTCTAAGTAAACAGGAAGTGATGTGGGTTGGTCCAATTTCTATAAGTGGAGGTCCTGGAGGACCAGCAGCATTTGGGTTTGGGGCCGATGGTTTTTACCAGAGCGAGAGAGGAAGAGAACAAAGGGAAGTTTGAACTCTGTAATTATTTGCTGAAATGGGAAAACAAACCATCCAGAACAATTTACAAGTTTGGACATTGAACCTTCTTAAAGAAACTTGACCCCAGAGCCCTAGTGGTGGCTTGGTGGAACTTTTAATGGATGTGTGGCTTGGAAAACAATCGCCACTATATTTACATTTCATAAATAAATCTGTTTTCTATTTCTACAACATCTAAAAAAATTCTGTAATATCTACATTTACTTGCATTTTTTTATCTTAAAATCTTTCATAATTTTTTCATCTGTAATGTTTTGCTTTTTGTTTATATCTATACTTTTTAAACTTTATCTCTTATCTTAGTTCATCACCAGGATGCAAATCCGACTCTAATAATAATAAGTTATAATAATAATAATGGTAATAATAATAACTAACAATAATAGTAATAATAACAGTGATAATAATAATAGTAATAATAGTAATAGTAATAATAACATGTTTTCCTCACCAGCGTTGTTGATCAGTATTATTTTCTCCATCTCGTCGTTAAAAACGTCTCTGCTGGTTCTCACGATGTTCTCCAGACTCTCCAGCTTCCCTACATCCGCCGCCACCACCTCCACCTTCAGGCCGGCTCGGCCCGCCTCGGACTCGGTCAGCTCGGCCTGGACGGCCCGCAGGTCGGCCCCGGAGCGGGCCACCAGAACCAGCGCCGAACCGGGCTGAACCAGCCGGCACAGGTCCAGGGCCACGGCCCGGCCGAAGCCTCTGGAGGCCCCGGTGATGACGCACAGAGCCCGGCCCAGGTCCGCGGGAGGAGGCATGATGAGGCCGATGGAGCTCCGAGGAAGAGGAGACGGTTCTTCACCTGGAGGTCCGGATCAGCGGTTCTTCTTCTGGGGTTCCTCTGGCTGCTGCTGCCGCCCTGTCGCCACCTCCTGGTTTTATACCGGAGCGGCCGGGCGCTCTGTCAGCAGAGACGATCTCTGATACCGCAGCGGGTCCAATAATTACATGGATCAGGATCAGGAGACGGTTCCG